TTCCCTTAATCTCTGAGCTCCGGGATGAGCAAAAGGCCGTGGTGTATGCTGTAGAGAACGTAAAGAGAAAACAGATGAAGCCATGGCCACAGTCTTTCCTCAGTGGTTAATTCCACAACATAGTAATGTCCGTGATCTTCTCTTAGTTATAAACTATTAGGCAATAAGTATTATTTCCCAAAAATCTTTGGGTAAAGAGCCTCTACCCTCAAAACTTTGCAATGTATTTATAAAAAACTGTGATTCGAAAGAAATATCAACAGAAATATTTAAAGTGCTCAGAATTTTAGCTAGTTAAAATATAAAAGACAAAGGTTAATTGAGTCAGTAGTAAAGTAAGTAGTTGGCACTTACTCCTGAGAAAGCCAAAAACTGACAGATTAATGTGACTGAGATGGAAAGGGAGTTTCTCTTTGCTGGCTCACACCCACTGCTGTGTACAATTAGCCATTTAGGATCAATTCAATGGGTGCTAACAGAGAATGTTCCAGATCTATAGGCCACTTGTGAAAAGTGGGAGGCCTGAAATCAGAGAAAACTTGTCCTACATGCACGAGTGGCATTGATCTGGTGGCAAGTGATTTTCTGCTATTTGACAATGTTATTGAAACACCCCCGTCCCATTCAGCAGTATGCAAGAAATTAGTTTATAATATGTCTCTCCAAAGATTGGAATTAAGAAATTAAGTAATATGATTTCATTATAAGGTGATCATGAAGGTACTAGTTGCAAAACTGAGTCTGAAACTTTATTTGAATCTATAATTGCTGCTAGAATTGTTGACTCTGAGAGCAACACAGATCGTTTCTCCAGCCTGTTCCCGTTCCCAGAGTCTAATGAGCATTGGATCTAATACACCCACCTCATCAGTCACGTTCACACAATAAATACATGACAAGTTTCTGTACCAAGCTCTGCTCTTGGTGTTAGAGGTACAGTAATAAACACAACCAGCACAGTCTCTGCCTTTACAGAGCTCTTCTGTCAGTGCGGATGATTAAGCAATAAAGGTGAGCAGTGATTACAGTAGATGGCTATGAGAAAGTCCTAAGGAAAAAAGACAAACCAGGGAAGAAGGCTGTGAAATATTTTGAGCAAAGGGCGGTTTTAGAAAGGGAGGTTATCTAAGTCTTTGTTTTGTTTGCTTGTAGAAAAGAGCTAAAAATTTTAAAAGTACGAGCATTAAAGCCCATAGCTAGTGGACATTTGTGAATATTGGATGATTAGTCCAGGTAGAATGAACAGCAGCCTTGGGGTGTGGGGGGGAGCTTCAGCAACAGAGAGGGACATGGTTGAGGTGAGAAGGTTTTGGGGGCTCTATGCACATTTTGAAGGCAGGCTTATAGGATTTGTCTTGGGACCAGCTGTGATGTGAGAGGGGAGACAAGGGGAGAACACACAGCCTAGACCTGAATGAGGGAAGAAATGAGCTGCTGTTAACCAAGATGGGAGGACCACAGAGGATGGATGTCCCAAC